CTGAATTAGATATTAAGTTTAGCTACTGCTCCCTTAATGCAGACAACAGTATTTAAGAATATAGACATGTAATGACTAATGCAGAATAGTCAGATTACGATATGTTCTATCACGGAACATTTCCATGATAATTTACAATCTACCATAAGTAAATTACAATCACAAGGATTCGAACTGTAAGTAGATGATTTGCATTCCCTATTATAACTATTAATTTCAGTATGTGTATAAGTGTCGCTGTCATAGAAAGTCAGTGCTATATTAAAACACAGTATATCCAAATTAGAAGTTAACTAAATAAGGATAGTCTAACAGAATTATCCTAACATAGATATTTCTACTGTAATACAGTATTTAACACTGTAACAACTGGTGATTAAAATTTTCGTACATCTGCCGTACCAGTATAACTATACTCGTGCAATTTTAAAATATCAGAAATACAAATATTTTAACTTATACCTTAATAAATTATTGCCTTAGATTATACTGATGACTATATTAATACTGCTATTATTTAGCCCTATGAAATAAGGCTACTGACCCTCAGCTAGAGCATATCATGAAAGTTTGGATGTACTGTAATGATATCTCTTACCAATTTTGTAGATGTTTATCAACATATTATCAACATAATTATTGATCCAATTAATATTTTTAGTTGATTTATATTATGATACACAAGCATTCAGGTTTAAATTATCAGTCAATATTAAAATTAACATAATTTATATATAAGCAATGCAAATATCTACGATCACATATTTTATAAATCTTAATAAGTTAGATAGTTCAGTCCATAGTGTTATTTAAGATTAATCGGTGTTTATCTGTATATTTTACCGGCTGTAAAGCTACAGTAATAATATATTCTGCAAGTCTTTGTACAAGGTAATTCATAAATTGAATTTCATATATTGTCGATCCTAGGTTTCTCCAGTTCCAGAAAGAGACGAAAATGATTCATTCGTTGGGTAAACTAGTAATCAATTAATATTTCACTGTAGAAGTGTGAAGTAGGATGATAGGCAATAGATTGATGACGATGCTAGGACATTTAATAAGTCTTAGTCAATAACTTTTTCCATACCAATAGGCCAGGTTATTATGTAGAAGAAAGCTATTGGAACCTATTGAAAGAGCAAATTCACATTTTTACATCAACTGTCCTAACCGATCTAGAAAAAGAACGAGCAACCTTGCTATCGAAATATACTGTCGCCTCTGAAGAAGTTGAGCAATGTCATCAATACATTGAAACTCAATTAATCAAGTTAGTTAGCAGATATTTGAATACTTCTGTAGCTTTCTAGTAAAATAAATGTGCAATGTCCATTTCATTCTTTTACTATCAAAGTACTGCTACGTCTCCAGGCAGAAAGAAGCAAATATCATAGCAATCGTCTTTAAACATATTGCTGATGATATAACTTACCATAATTAAGATATAGTAAGTTACTGAAATTTATATTTTATTTTAATTACGGTACATTTTCAGATATCAGAAAGAAATTTTAAGGCTAAGGAAATTGATTAATGATTCTGGTGGTAACTCTGGATCGATAAAAGATTTTAATGAAACTCCTCGTCCACCAGGATATAGATCTAACCGCCAAGTTAATCCTCATAGCCAAAAGAAACGGAATTTGTCTCCATCAACAACCAACTATGATAGCTAATCTATAGTAAATAAATCTAAAATATCAAAACTTCAGAGTAAATCTTTAACAACAATACCCTGCAATTAACTTTTAGCTGAACAATATAGAATTTTAATAATACGATTAAGCTATTCAGCAATGAGAATCAATAAAATTTAAAATTTTAAATGTTTATGCAAGATTCTGACCAAATTTTTGATCAAAAAATTGGCTGATAAAAGAATTATTTCTTGTATCATTACAACTATGTCTACTATAGCTTTCGTTTATCTACTTAAGCTAACTTCGATAAATCATTCTATAGTAATTTATTTAAATACATTTATTTAGAAATAGGATGAAATCGCTATTACGATCTTTATTGCTTATTGAATGCTTTTTACATAATATATGTTAAATAAAATAATCCATACACTAATTTTAGTCTAGTCGGCTTCTAGAAAAATATTTTATAATATAAATATACGCGTGCTTATCAACATGTATTTTACTAACACATTTGAGCTTTATAACAAAAATTACTAGAATTGAAAAACGATTAGAATTATTAGAATAAATGTTTTGATGTCAGATACTGGCTATAAATATGTTGGCGCTTGTCACGGTACGAACTACCGTGAAGAAATAGATATCTAAATTTGGTTAATATAATATAATGATATTATATTACAACTAGTTACTTACAATAGGAATTACTCTAATTATAAATGTGTTACAGTAAATTTAATGCTGTGCTGTAATGTGCTCTGAAATGATTCTGTGAATGGACATATTGTAGTCCGACTGTGAAAAATTAGTTAGTAGATGTTCTCACCCAAGTATTTTTATAAGATGACTTGTGAATGTTAGCTGCTGTAGAAGGGTATATAAGCCCGTCAGATATCTGAATAAAGCAGTTCTCAATTGTATAGTTGTTTTAACGTAGAATTAAAGGCGTCTAAATTCTTGTGAGGTAGTTAAGGGATACTGAATCCCAGAGACTATAGTAATTTAGAGATTTGTTTTACGTTATCCTTGTCACGAAGCTGGTTTGTGACAGCGCTACTTATAGAAGTTATTACAAAATTTTGTTTAAAAATCTATTGGAATTGTAGGAAATGATTGTATTATTTGAGTGATAAACATGTTATTCAACCTGTTAGAATTTTACTAGAAATTCGTACATTAGATCTATAGACTGTCCTTTTATAGCAGTTTTTGGTTACTTCATGCTGTAATTAGCCACATCTAACTCAAAGTAGCTAAGAAGAATCCAATAAAATATAGCAACGCGTTAATCTTTTAAAATTATTACTTTTAGCAGTGTTTTATAGACTTCAGAACTTGTTTTATTAACAAATTTACTAATATAGGCATATATTACGGTCAAATTTACCCAATCGATTTTTATATTCTTAGAAATTTATCAACTTGCGAAGCTCAAAAATCCAGCAGCAAATCTCAAATATATAATCTGTCATTTTCTGAATCTATCGTTTCTCAAATGGTAAATAAATTTGCCAAATACCACTAAAGTAGAGATTGAAGCGTATCAAAATACATGCACCTCAGGATTCTTTTAAATTATTTGTATTATCAATACGCTTTAGTTCCAATGGATCCACAATATATATGGTAGACAACGTATTGCTATTACGCTAGTACACACCATGCAAGTTCTAAATATAATGATAGTACCTTTACTCTGGTGTTCACTTGAAAATAAATAAGCAGTTCATCTTCCTATTATTTACCAGTACAATATTCAATTAACCTAGCACTCGATAATTAAGCTCGACAGAGACACTCATACAATTATTAATAGATGATACAATATATATTTAATACATAAATGAGCGCAATAATTTTCAATATCACGTGGCTAAAGGATTATTCGATCTATTTAGACCAGAATAAACTCGTAACATCAGTTTAAATCTGAAAATTTCAGATATGGCTAATGTAAGGTATTGATTTGTAATTACAGTCGCAGTAAATTTTCAACAATTTCAATCTAGCTCAATACTAAATTGATTCATTTTAGTAGCTATAATGCAAGTTTCAGGGTAAAAATTGACTTCTATTTAGTATGTTGCATCTTTTTATTATGGCAATACGACTATCAAATAGATAAATGGATATACTATAGCGGAAGATCTCATATAAACTAGCACTGGCTATAAGATTAATCTTAAAACTGAAATGAAGACTCTACAATAGGGTAGAAATTTCATTTCCAGAATAGGATATAAATTTATGCGTTAATTAAATCGATTCTATCACCAGATAAAGCGCATAAGTTATAAAATTTTTGAAGTATCGACTTCAACTTGACAATTACATTTTTCGCTATTTCTACATGTCATATCGACGATTAGTGCCTTGACTTTGAAGTAGATGACAGAATACAGTCAAGCATATGATGATAAAGTCATTAACCCTTTAACTAAGGCTAAGTTCAAATATGACCGCAACTTAATGATCGCAATCAATAAAATTAGGTTAAACCGGTATCCAACAGGCTCATCATAAATTTTAATTAATCGATTATTTTCAAGTATGAGTATATGATAATCGATTTATATTCAATTAATTTTGAGCTCAAACAATCTTACTAAATGGGTTATTGATGTAAAAATTACAACTGGTATTTGTTTCCATCAAATAAGTGTTATAACTCTATGCTCTTCAGGTTATACTTTTTGCCGGTACCAAATGGATTATTATTCTGTTGATAATAATCATCAGCAACGTATCTTCATGAAATGGACTATTTATGTGAAAATAACATTAGAACTATTGATCATTATTTGTTAGCATGACTAGATTAGTATTCAATTTTCAACTAATTTAATTAAACTATATTGTATTGAAAGTAAATTTCGATTCATGTTCCAATATCACCAATAAAGCTGAGCTCCAACTTATCTAATTCCAATAATATTTGAATGATGATAGTATATTAGTCCATTGATTAGCATATTTGATCCTTTAAAATATCGAATAAAGTTGTTTTAATCTACTAACTAGTATGAACTATAACCAAGATTGATCCTGGAAGATAGATTAATTTATCAGGTCAACGTATGATACGGCTTCCACGATTGTATCATCGAAAACTTAAGAGGTAAAACTGAATAATTTTGCTACTGTACTATCCTAAACAAATTCATCACTAGAAGATTGTCAGATGGATAGTAAATATCGATTGCTTTGGTTATATCCAGCTTGAGTTAGTGGTACGGTATGAATTTTCTAAATTAAAATTTTAATCATTTGAAATGGATGTGGATAAATCTATATGGGTTTAATGTCTTGATAGCTGCCAACAGGATAAAAAAGGTCATTAAACTATTATTTTTAATGATTTTGTACCACGTTAGGACGACAGGAGATAAAATATAAAGCATTATCTAACAAGTATTCGTCCCAAGTTAGTATCCTAGAAAAATTAGTTGAAGAGAAATCAATGTTAATAAATAATTACAGTTAGGATGGTATAATACCATCAAGGGGAATGACCGATTCCTCGGATTGACCGTAACAGTAAAACATTAATTTTATCATCATTTGACAAGAATAAGAAATCAGATGCTCGAACTTAACATAATTAGAGCACTCGAAAATAATTTTATCATGCATGACGTAGAATAGTGCACTATTGATGCTAGAGGTCAAAATAGATACGTAACTCAGATATCAGGATATGGTTAGCTCATTATTCTTTGGTTGGTAGAGATAATGTCTATGTAAATACTACAACTGTTACCATGCTGGGATACATATAATTATAGATGGTCCGCTGTAAACTTTGTTACTAATAATTTGAATAATCGCAAAATAAGGTGTAATGTTATCATGCTGATTGAAGCTGTATATATACTATAAAGAGTATAAAAAGTAGACAACTGTAGATTATTTAGTAGTTCTGTCTATGAGTCTTTGTAGTGGTTGTATTCGAGCTAAAGTAGAGCTATTTGTAGATTATCTTACTACAAAGGTCTAATAAAGTTCTAATTTTCAACAAATATTGGAATTTCATGAGCGGTTTTTATCACAATATGTTTATAATATTTGAAGATCTTAATGGAAAATAATCAATAATGAGAATATTAAAACAGTTTTCATTAAGCTGAAAACTAGAATAACTCTAGAAATGATTCTAAAAGTAATAAATAATAGTTAAAATCAACCACAATAGATACAAATAAGTAATTAAAATTCTTACCCATTTCTATCAGAATCACCCAGCATCAAGTAATGAATATGATATTCAACATGGCCGGGTAACTCCTGCTCCACCTTATCTACATTCCTAAATGATCATATCATGGTATAGGATCAGAATTTTAGTTGATATTAAATTATATAAAATGATCGAGACAGATTTACCAGTATTGCTTTCCTAATAGTTTAGAAAACCAATGTGAGAAAGTCCTTTTAGCTTCAACAACTGTAATGACACCATCTTTATCGAGATCAATGGTTTGGAATGCATCTCGGGCACGCTCAACTTCTCGATTAGTTAACATGGATAGCAAGAATTCCTAATATTTATCCAAAAAAGACATTTGTAATCATTGATAAACAATGGAACTATAAATAGACGACGTTATATTAATGATTACCAGAACTAGAAATCTCATATTGTCTTATGGACTAACCTTATCTCGTTTTGCTAATTTCTTAACAGCTTCAGCATTAAGAAATTCCCACCAATCCAAAGTACCAGATGAATTCTTATCCATCAATCGAAACTATAATAAATTATTAGCAAGACGAATCTAATTATCTGCAATCAAACAAGCAAACTAAAATAATTGAAACTTTATACGTGTATCAACAATCCATGAAGTAGAAAGTAGTAGCATTTACGGATTTAACCAATTCTCTAATTGATGGGATTTACTGTAAAAGCTGTAAAACTTGAATTATATTGCTTTTTAAGCCTCTTCTACATTACTATTTATTTTACTTAATAGTGAATTACTTTTTCCTGATGATATTTCTCTTCTACTTCTGTCCATTTCTCTCTTTCTTTCTCGTATTGCGCTTTAGTTGCTTTCATATACTCTTCCAAAGTTACCGTGGAGTCTAGTTTATTGAGCATTAATTGAGAACAGTCTCAAATCTGTCTGATAATCTATACAAGCGCTTTAACTTTGAAATACCTTGATCAATATCCAGTTGCTGAAAGTGATCAATCAATTCCTGCATCTCATCCTCTTCAAGCAAGAAATGGATATTCTCCTAAAGAGGAATTTTTGATTGAAAATAGCTCAAAAATAAATTTAATTAGGGGAGTAAAAATAACCAATGGTGCCAAATTTTATCCTTCCTGTCTAGAAAAACTTGATAACTAATAACTGATCGAGAATTAAGAGACATTATAAAACTTACACATTTCGGACAACTCCAGCGAAAATTTTTGGCATTATATAATAATTCTGGAGTAGCTCCTTCTTTGCATTCTCCTAGTTTATTTAAGCATTGTTCGTGATAGACTCTTGTACATATCCGACACGGATATAATTCACTGTTGGCAACATTGTACACATTGCATACGGCACATGAAGTATCTGCTAGAACCTATATCACATTTTTCATAAATAGGTGAGATAGATACCATAAAGCAGCGTTTCTGCAGACGATCATTTTCTAAAGTCAATTAATACAACATAGTGGACACTAGCGATCACACTA